AGGGAAATGAAAGAATATAATTTTCATTTCTTTAATTTTTCTTAATCTAAATATATTGTTAATCATTAAATTACATATAAAATTATATATCCACTAAAAAATTATACTCTTATTGTAATATAAAAAATTTATCTCTCAATTATTTTTTTAAGAACTTGTTGTTTTACAATATAAATTATATTAAACTACAAAAAAAAAAAGTTATTAAATAAAGAGAGTTTCAATATTAGGATATTCGTCTTTTATTTAATTATTTATAGTTTACAATTTAGTAAAATTAAAACAATAAAATACTTTTTTTTTTTTTTGAACATGCCAATAAAATACTTTTTAATTTTTGAATTAGAAGAGAAGTTCAAATTCGAACCAGATACCTTATCCAATTTGTTCTCTTAAGACAGTGCAACAGTCGCTCCACTTGACAATTAAAGTCACGGGTGATTAGGACTTAAGCTCAATTATATCTGGTTCCAGAAAGCAAAATTATTAATCATACCTGGGGGCGGGGGGCTGGGTCCTACGATAATGACATTCTGGTTTGCCACTCTAAGTTTATCGCCACGCAAATTATGCGTTGGCGCCGACGCATCGGTTTTACCATTTATGTACTGGCTAGTAATTTTATTTAAAGAGACCAACAAGGGATTGGATAAGTGGTAAGCGGTTTGTTTCAGTTTAAGTAAGATTTCGAGTTCCAGACTTTATGAATGCAGCAGCCCCCGTTGGGAGACTCACCCACCATTTCCAGGTGCGCGACGCGGGTTGGGTCCGAATTGGTCGGGGTGAAGCCTTGGATACCGGGTGGAAAATCAAAAAAAAAAAATTATTTAAAGAGGAGTGCTAGGGGCAGTCGCCTTCTGCACTCTCCGGCCAACACTTTCACTTTTATTGGGCCACGTTATTCTGGTCGGAAAGAGGTTGACTTGAAAGCTTGCAACGAGCTTACGTGGCCCAATGAAAGGGGAAGTGTTGGCCGGAGAGTGCAAGAGGCGAGTGCCCCTAGCACTGCTCTTATTTAAATTATTAAGCATCAGTGTTAAAATTTTATATAAATATGTTTAATTTAAAGTTCAACAGAAAATTATGACGGTCTTTAAAATTAAAATATCAAAAATAAATTAAATATTTTAGATATTTTAGATAAATTAATATATAAAGAATTTATAAAAAAATATTTGAATAATTTTATAAAAATTTTTGACTCGTCTTGTTTTTTTATTAATTTAATTATTAAAAATAATTATTAGTTATAATTATTAATTGATATTAATT